AACTAGTAGGCCAAAAACATTCAAATACATCTAGGTTGAAATTATTTAAAAAGCATTCTCCTTGGGTCCGGCACAGTAGCCTAGCAACCAAAATCCTTACCTTGACTGTGCCAGGATCCCATAAGGGGACTGGTTTATATCCCAGCTGCTCCACTTTCCTGCCAGCTCCCTGCTTGTAGCCTGGGAAAGTAGTCGAGACCAAGAAGCAGCTCCTGGCTCCTGGCTTCAGATTGGCTCAGTTCCAGCTGTTGTGGCTACTTGGGGAATAGATGAAAGATCTTTCTCACTGTATCTCCTCTCTATAAATCTGACTTTCCAATAAATAAATATAAAAAAGCATTCTTGGGCCTGGCGCGATAGTGTAATGGTTAAGGTCCTCATCTTGAACGTGCCAGGACTCCATATGGGCACCGGTTATATTTCCAGAAGTCCCACTTCCCATCCAGCTCCCTGCTTGTGGCCTGGGAAAGCAGTTGAGGAAGAGCCCAAAGCCTTGGGACCCTGCACCCGCATGGGAGAGACCTGGAAAGAAGTTCCTGGCTCCTGACTTTGGATCAGCACAGCATCAGCCGTTGCGGCCACTTGGGGAGTGAGCCATCGGATGGGAGATCTTCCTCTCTGTCTCTCTGTAACCTGCCTTTCCAATAAAATAAATAAATTTTAAAAAGAAAAAAGAAAGAAAAAGCTTTCTCCCTGAAACAGAGCAAAGTCTGTCAATGAAAACTGAAGTACCAAGTAATTAGTAACTGACAACTAAAAGTTAAAAAGGGAAGAAGTCTATAGATAATCAGTAACAAGGATATTGAATGACACTAGCAGGAAGGACAGCTTTAATTTTTATTCGAGTTGCTGAGAATTAATCAATTTTGGGGGGAAAAAAGTATTATATTTATCACTCCTGATTTAAGAATTCAGTTCACTGAGTTAGAGCAGTACTTTTCTCCAGAAATCAAGCTTGGAAACCATTTTGGCCAAAAGCTAGAAACCAGAATATCTTTCACAAGCTTTTGCTCAGGCTCAAGAATTCAAATCAGCACCCATACTCAGTTGCAAAAATAAGCCAGAAAAGCTAAGCTGACAGAAGAGTAGAGAATAAACACACTGAGCTCTGCAGACCTCTTCGAGTCACATTCATCTCACAGCTGGTGCTGTGGCACAGCCAGTGAAGCCACAGCCTGCGGCACTAGCATCCGTGTGAGTGTCACTTCAGGTCCCAGCTGCTCCACTTCTCCCCCAACCAGCATATGGAAATGTCTTTCTCTAACTCTGCCTTTCAATTAAAAAAATAATATTAAAAGAAATAAACCTCTATCCAAGCTTCTCACGACGAATTAGTTTAAAGGCAAAATCTGAAGTATTATTTAATATTTGATTAATCCTAAAACCATAGGGGGAGAGGAAGAAAGGAACCAAATAAATAACATCCATCCTTGTAGTTATACCCTTTCAGTCTTCCCAAAAACTTGTTTTATACAAAAGCCACCTCAGTTCTCAGGAGGCAGGAGGTAGAGTCAGGTTTCTGGAGGAAACCAGCACAAAGGGATTAAGTGTCTTGTCCAGCAAGTCACCAACAAAAACAAAACCAGATCCCAATTACTTACCCTACAGAGTCACTTGTTTTCCTGGATCATAAACCTAGGATAATAATTTTAAGTGCCTACAAATGATCTCAGGTCATATCAAAACATAATGCCAGAATGGAGTATTCTGAACAAGAAAATACCGCTTACTTCAAATCAATAAAATAAACACAATGAACTTAATACAAAGGGGAAACAAAGGCCATATCTTTTTGAGAATATTTTCAAGGGTCACTCTCTTCAGCACACACTTTATTGCTCAAAATCTCCACCAAGGAGCCAAAGGAGTTAGATTCACACCCTCTAACTATATTCTATACATAAATCAAATCCCAAAATACTCCAAGAGGTTCTCAATCAGAAGTATACTAAATCTAAAAACCTTTTCTTCCAAAAACAAATCTTTCAGCACTATCTTCAAAGCATTATGTGCTGCCTGCCGGACACATCTGAGATTTAGATTTTAAAAATCGTTACTTCCAAGTCATTTTAAAAATAGTTCTATTCACAGATTTCAGGTTGCTGTAAATTTGACATTCTGCTCAGCCCTCATTAAGTTTAGGCAAGATTCCCACTTCCACTCAAATTTTATTATTTGAGCATACAATGGCTGCATTAAGATACTTCCTAAATTGACAAAAGACAAAACTAAACAACCCAAAAAGCTCCCAAGTTTCCCAAGTGGGTCTTTTATTTCAAATCATACTAGGCACCCCACTACACACTACACGAAGCGTCGTGCAGTGACAAGTCATTTCTGCAGTACGATGGAATATGTTTTTGAACCAAAATTTGACAAGACTGAGTTTTCAATGTCAAAGAACTCATTTTTCAGGATTCTAGGAAACCCTGCTTACTGAAGCAGTCTCAACGCAGTTTGATTAATCCTTCTAAATCCCAAAGAATTTAAGAGAAGCCACAGAACACTGAATGAAACCTGCTCTGAAATGTCTGCACTCAACCCCCTAAAGGCTACTTCCCATGTGTTTGGCAAGCTGATGGCCGTATGTCCACCCAATCCCAGCAGAAGTGTCTTTCCTCCATCATTTCAATATTTCATTCCCCAACTCAAACCAAAATAACACTCGAACTATTTGGGAGAAAAAGCTGAAGCAGTATCAGTTACATCACGAAAGAGAGAGAATGTGTCAAAAGCCTCCCTTTGTGCGGGTTTTGGAAGCTGAGTGTACAGTACTCCAGTCAGCCATGCTTCAGCATGGGAGTCAGGTATTATTACATCACCAGATGTCTGACACTGCCCCATTACCCAGAAAGCACCAGGGCAGCTGAGACTACACCAAGGTATCCCCTTCCACCCTCTCCCACACAGCAACCTGCACACCACAGCAGCCAGGCCCTGCTCTCCTGCACAGACACACCTCACTCGCCCTACACCTGCGGCAGCCCCACGTCCATCCATCCTTGGTGCAAACCTCCGAGCCCTGTGCAGCTGACAAAGCTACAGGCTGGGACACTGCCCACCACCACATACCTCCTCCAGACCAGCTCTCCCTGGCACCCTCCCCCATTGGGGGGCTCTGGGACTCCAATTAGGTCTCAGGCTGTTTGATCCAACACTGTACAGGATTTAATGTTGTCTATTTCCCATTAACATCATTCCAGGATCCACATCTCGCACGCCCAACCTCTCTAATCTCCAATTTCTCTAAATCTGGATTTTAATTTCCTCCTTTTAGGTTTTTTTTTTTCCTCCCCAGCTTCTGTACTCTACCCTCCTTTATACTTTCAGTAAGGCAAAAATTCTGGTTCCTTTTGTTCCTCAAGACTCAAAATATTCCAATCTCTCCCCACAGTCCCACACCTTTCAATAGTCTCTAAGCAACCTTTCCTTAACTTGCTCCAACCCAAGGAGTATTTCCTGCCCTAAACCTGCCCCCTTCCCATACAACAGGCCACCTATTCCTCCCTACCCACACACCCCTCCCTCTCCCAGTGTAGGTATTAAGCATTCTTCCACATCCTCTCCCCTAGCGCATCCCGCATCCCGTCTCGCATCCCGTCTTCCATCCCACTGTTCCCTGTCTATTCCCCTCTCCCTAAATACAAAATCCAACACCCCAAACGCTCTTCCCATCTAAGCTACTGCTGTCCCCTCTTCTGACTTCCCTTCTTCCCTCACGGCCCCCATCTCCCCAACTTCTCCCCACACTTCCTTACCTAGGAACACTTGTCACCATCTGTCCTCACCTGCCACTCCGAAAACGCTCTCCCTCCCTTCTGCCCTCCTCTCCCTTCTGCTCCCACACATCTTCCAAGCGCCCCCCCCCCACACTCAAAGTTTCCCATCCTGCAGCTCCTCGCCCTTCGTCCTCAGGGCCCGGGCTGACACCCCCATCAAGCGCCCCTCCAGTTCACTGCACTGTCTCCCCGCCACTCTCCCAAGCCCGTCAGACTCAGGCCCAGCTCCAACCTCCTTCCACCTCACGCTCAACACCAAATCCATCCCTGGCTCCCTCCAGCCCAGCCCTCCACACACCCCCGGCCAGAACGCCCCCCGCGGGGCTCCCGGAGCCTCGGGCCTACCCGGCACACACATACCTTCTGTCGGGACAGCCTCCATTTCCCTCACCCACCCGCTCTCCCAGGTACCCACCTTCCCTCCGGCTCACCCTGCCACCCTTTCTTCCACACCCCGACCGGCCCCCTCCGCCATTCTCCTTCGCACGCGTCCGGTGGCCTTCCCGGTATCTGCCCCGCTCCCAGCTCCTCACGCACCAGGACCTCCGCTCCTTCCATTCCTGCCGCGACACCCCCAGTCTTCTCCCTCCACGCCCATCCCTGCTCAGCCCCCCCACACACACGCGGGCTCGCCCCCACCCACAGGAATGCCCCACATGCCGCTCGCCCTAGCCCCCAGCACTCCCCCCTGCAAACCTGCCCTACGGCCCTCAGCCTCCACCGACCCGGATCCCTCTGCCCTCCATTCTCCTCCAAATCTGCCCGCGCCCTCTCCCTGCTCCCCGCTTCAACAAAGCCTCTCCCCCTAGCTCCTGCCCCCAATGTCCTCCAACACCTGCTCCGGAGCCCCCACCCCCCGAGTCCTCCCATCCTACTCCCCGGACCTCCCGGCGCCCGATCTCCCCCTTCCATGGCCCACGCCCTCCCCTCGCTCAGGGCCGGGACCCCGTCCCCCAAAAGGTGAGAGAGGCTGCCGGCTGCCCTTGCCCGGGAGCGGCCGGGACACCGCAGCGCCGGTGACGGGTCACAATGCCGGAGCACCGAGCCGGGATGGCTCCCCCGCTCCCCGGCCCGGCCGCCGCCACCGCCGCTGCTAAGGACGCACAACAAACAATGCGGGGCCCGGGCCGGCTCCACCAACCGCCTCAACCGCCGCCTCAACCGCCAGCCGCCCGGGACGGCCCGCCGCGCAGGCGCCTGCCCCCCGTCGCCGCAGCCTACCCGCGCCGCCACGCTCTGCCCGCGCCCGGCTGCCCGCTCCTGCTCCTGCTCCGCCGCCGCCGCCACTTCGTCCGCCCGCGTCTCTCGGTTCTCCTCAGCCCAGCGGCGGCGGCTGCGGCGGCTGCTGCCCTGGTGGCGCTCGCGGCTCCGGTCTCCGCTTCGGCTTCGGCGGCGGCGGCGGCGAGCACGTGACAACGCCGAGCGCGCTCATTGGCCGACCCGGGGGGCGGGCCCCGCGGCTGCTGGGGGAACGGAAAGCCCGCCCCCCGGCTCTCCGCGCGCCCCCTCCACGCGCGCCCTGCCGCACCTGAGAGCGCCAGCCAGCGCCCGCCGCGCCGAGCCTGCGCCTGCGCCTGCGCCAACTGCGCACCTGGGAGCGCGCAGGGCGCTCGCGCCGGCGGCGGCCGCATGCACCTGCGAGCGGACGCTTACGTAAACTGCGTCCCCGCCTTGCTCCCGACGCCGGGCCCCCGCCTGCCGCAGCACCTGAGCCCCGCTGCGCCAACGGCGTAGCCGCCGCGGCGCGGAGCCCCGCGGATAGCACGGAAACTTCGTAACTTGCGACTGTGAGATCGCCTCGGGGCGCCGGCGTGTGGCCGAGCTGGGCTCCCCGGGTTCCGCGGGACCCTCTTTGCGGGATTCCGTCCCCCGCCCCGAGAACCGCGGCTGCTACGCAAACGGAGTAGGCGCCGCAGTGCCTCCCCGGGTGGAGGAGGGGCAGGCCACAGGGCTCGGACTTGGAGAAAGGTTGCACTCCGTCCGCTTCCAGCCGGCTTGAGCGACCTGGGCCAAGTCCTGGAGCCATCCTGAATCTTGGCTTTCCTCGTCGGAGATGGGACCGTAATTCTGATGTCGGAGCTGTGAGGGAGATGGCGTGAGACAATGGACGTGAATTTTCCTGGCACATGGCAGGCACTGAACAGGAATTGCAACGATCCCCTCTCTTTTCTCCAGCCCTCATAGTGTCCCTGGGGTTGAATCTGGGCCCAGGACAGCTCCCTGCTTCCTCTTGGCTGGGTCAGGCTTCGGCAGAACACTGAATCTTCTCTGTGCCCCGGGGCGGCGCTGACAAAGAAAGGTCGACTTTTCATTTTTACAATTAGGAACCGGAACCTTCTGGGATGCCCGACTTTCCTCCCGGCAGTGCAGCCGCTGTTAAGTGCTACATGCCAGCCACCGTGCTGGGTGCTGGAAAGTCCTTGCAGCTGAAAGCCCATGAGCCCACCGCATGTCAGGACAGAGGGACTTGGCAGAGCTGGTCTTTTCCTGTAGAAGACCCCTGATTTTTTCCAATGACGTACAGGCTCGAATATGTTACCAGCTGTGTTTCCACTTACAAAATAAAGTGTGAACACTCAATTTCAACTTTGAAAAAAATAAAAAGCTTCAGTGGTATGACCTTGGCCCTCCAACCACATGAAATTACAGAACTGTCATTTCCAGAATATGCCCAGGTCTGTAACCCTTCCGAACCTCGCGAGACAGGTGCCAAGGCCACATGCCCACCCCTTGCTGCCCGACACCTTCCTGTATCCTCCCGAACACTCCCCGGTGTTCTTGTTAGCGCACACCTTACTCCCTCGGGAGCTCGCAGGCTGCCTGAGATGCATGTCCCCAACTCCCTCTGCTTGCACAAAGCCCCATTAAACCACATAGTCCTGGGGCCCAGGACTGTAGCTAGCTGTGTCCCCTCCCCTGCATTTGGAAGTGACTTGAGGACGGTCACCTTGCCACCCGAGTGGGTTAAGGAAGATTCCAGGTGTACGTGAGATCACAAAGCTGGGTTTTGCTGGGCAATCCCAAATCTGCCAGAGAGGGACACTGCAGAACTCACTGCATAAGGAGTCCGTTCATGTTGGCCCACACTCAGCATGTAAAACAGGACTGCCTGGCATAATGAAGGGGCTACTAGTATCATTTCAATCTCTATATGGGGTTTATAAATGTGAACACTCTTGAGAAAAACATGCGAGTGGAGGCTGGTTTTGTGGTGGAGTGAGTGAAACCAGGGCTGCAATGCCAGCATCCCAGGACTCTGGTTCAAGTCTTGGCTGCTGATGGTTCAAGTGTTGTGTTCAGAACCCTGCCACCCATGTGAGAGACACCAATGAAGCTTCTGGCTTTTGGTTTTGGAGGGGCCAAACACTGCTGTGTGGCTGTCTCAAGAGTCAGTTAAAAGGAAGCCCTCTCTTTCTCTCTTTGTAATGGACTTTCAAATAAACAAATACATCTTTTTAAAATTGCAAGTGATGCAAAAGTGAGGCAAATTAAAAGTTCATTCTGCCCTGACCTCTGCTTCTCTTCCCCCATCTCATCTCCCAGAGCAGTTCACTTTAAATTCCTTATCGCTCATATTATATATCCAGAGAAAGAAGGAGGTTGCAGAAATTGATATAGCTGTAATGTGTGTGTTGGACTCTGCCTAGGCAAAGTCAAAAAATTAACTACCAGTCACACGGAATATGCCTAGAAAGTAGAATTTGAGTGAGGGGACAAAAGACTCAATATTCCTGCATTGTTTTAATTTTTAAGGACATATATGTATATATATATATATATATGTGTGTGTGTGTATGTATTTTTAACATACCTTCATTTCATATAAATGCCATGTATCTAATTCAATGACTTTTAATAACTTAATGGAGTGGTACAAAAACAATATAATTAAGTTACAAAAAGTTGAAAATATTTTATGGATTCACCTGTAAATTCCCTCATGCTCATTTACTGCCAATCCATATTCTCACTCCCAGTCACACAACTACTCATATACAGTATGTCTCTATTTTTGCTTTTTTTGGATTCATGTGACATATATAAACAGAAGTCAAACAGATCTTATAGGAAAAGAAAGAATAAATGTGTCACCTCCTAATCCCATCCAGTGACAATAATCACCGCTAATATTTGCAAATATTGTTCCAACCTTTTTCAATGCATGTCAACACGTATGTTTTACAGGTGATGATCATATAATTTCTACTTTGATTTTTTTCACGTAAGGTACCAATATTTTTTGTAACTACATATTCTTGTGTACAATATATTTTTCTAAAAAGTGCTTAAAAAAGATTTCTTTTATTTATTTTATCTTTATTGCAAAGTCAATACAGAGAGGAGGAGAGACAGAGAGGAAGATCTTCCACCTGCTGATTCACTCGCCAAGTGGCTGCAATGGTCGGTGCTGTGCCAAATCCAAAGCCAGGAGCCAAGAACTTCTTCCAGGTCTCCCACTGCCCTCCACTGCTTTCCCAGGCCACAAGCAGGGAGCTGGATGGGAAGTGGAGCAGACAGGATTAGAATTGGCACCCATATGGGATCTGAGCACATTCAAGGCAAGGACTTTAGCCACTAGGCCACCATGCCGGGCCTTATTTATTTTTATTAAAGGCCAAGTGACAGAGAAAGAAAAAAAAAAGAGAGAGAGAGAGTGAGTCTGTCGCTGATAGATATTCCAGATACCTACAACAGCCAGAACTAAATCTCCATCCAGGTCTCCCACATGGGTGGCTGGAATCCAAGGACTTACTTGACTTATCAATTGCTGCCTCCGCGGATGTGCAGGCAGCTGGGATGGAAACAGAGGCAGCATTCTAGGCACTCTGATGTGGGATGTGAGCATCCCAAGAGGCGGCTTAACCTGCTGAGCCACCGTGCCCACCCCATAGGTTATATCTTAAGAATCATTTAGGGCCCGGCCGCGTGGCCTAGCGGCTAAAGTCCTCGCCTTAAACACGCCAGGATCCTATATGGGTGCCAGTTCTAATCCCGGCAGCCCCACTTCCCATCCAGCTCCCTGCTTGTGGCCTGGGAAAGCAGTCAAGGATGGCCCAAAGCTTTGGGACCCTGCACCCGCGTGGGATACTTGGAAGAGGTTCCTGGATCCTGGCTTCGGATCGGCATAGCATCGGCCGTTGCACTCACTTGGGGGGTGAAGCATCGGACGGAAGATCTTCCTCTCTGTCTCTCCTCCTCTCTGTATATCTGACTTTCCAATAAATAAATAAATCTTTTAAAAAAAGAAAAAAGAATCATTTAATGGGGCCCGGCGCAACAGCGTAGTGGTTAAAGTCCTCACCTTGCACACACTGGGATCCCATATAGGCACCGGTTCTAATCCCAGCAGCCCTGCTTTCCATCCAGCTCTCTGTTTGTGGCCTGGGAAAGCAGTCGAGGACAGCCCAAAGCCTTAGGACCCTGCACCTGCCTGGGAGACCTGGAAGAGCTCATGGCTTTGGACTGGCTCAGCTCTAGCCATTGCAGCTGCTTGGGGAGTAAACCATCAGATGGAAGACCTTCCTCTCTGTCTCTCTTCATCTCTCTATATCTGCCTTTTCAATAAAAATAAATAAATATTTTTTTAAAAAAAGAATCATTTAATGAACCTAGACTCTATGTTGGGTATAAGGATTCCTTCCATTGTATGCATAAAGAGGAAGAGGTAAAGAGTACTGTAAACATCCGGACCTCAGTGTGATTTGAAACCACACAGAGCTTCCACCACCAGCATCTCCTATTGCATCCATTCATTGCATAAAAATTTACTGAGAAGTTACTATGTGCTGGACCTTAGGGATATGAAATCAAGCAAGAGCTTGCACAGTCCCAATCCCAGTAGACCTGGAGGACTGAAAGAGATAGAATACATTCATCAAATAATTTCACTAACTGACCCAAAAAGAAGGAAGCAGGCAACATCCACAGAGTGGAAGTTTGGGAAGCAGGCACTTTTGGAACAAGTCCTTGGCCCTGTTCTATGCCATCCTGTTAAACGGAACCTGGTAGGAAGGGGCGGATTTTCCTTCCTGAGCGGTGGACAGTCCTTCACAGTTCTGCTTGTTCATTTGGCTGTTCTCTCTCCCCCAGTGAGAAGCAAACACAGGACCTGGTGGCTCAAAGAAGCAAGCCAATTGTCCAAGGTCAGCAAGCCCAGAAAAGTCACCTCTGCGTCTAGCTCCTGGCCCACTGCTCTTGGACCTGCATAACACAAACCTTTCTGGAAAGTGCTCATGCATTGCCCTATCTGTGAACAGACTCCAGCCACATGTGGCTGCTTAAATATAAATGAG